GCTGAGGCTCTGAGAGACTGAGTGGGTAAAAGCTCAGCTCGGTGAAGCAGAATCATACTTCCAAGTCTCAGAGCAGACACGTCAGATCTACAGCAGTGCCGCCACGACCCCAACTACATGATTGGATACAGGAGTATTCCCTGCTTCAGGGCTCATCGTGGCAATGCCCTAAGTCCAAACTGTAGAGATAGCCAGACGTGTCATTTCCCCTTTCCACTCCTCTCACACAAAGGTGGTTTCCATACAAAAGTAACTCAGGTACATACTTTGGGTTTAGCAGAGAACTGAACACCGCCTTTTCTCTTAGTTGTTCTGCAGCTAAAATGTTGATTCCAATATCCTGATTTAGCTTTGCCATTTTTATATAGAAAGTTTTGCTCTGCACAGACCAAAATCTTTGGCAGTATTGCAACTCAGAAAATGGAAACTGCGCTATCAACATAATGGTTTAGCATAAGGATAGAGTCAGTCTGTGGAAAAAAGGTCCTTCTTTCAGACTGTCAGTTTTCACCCATCAGTACGCTGTTCATTTTGGCTAACTGTGACATATGTATGACTCCAGTGAAAACAGGAAAACTCAAGACCAGAACTCTTACTGGGAAGGCAACTTGAATTTCTGTTCCATTTGAGAAGGGAGACCAGAAGTATAGTGAGGATATGCTAAATATACTTGAAATAGCTAGGTACAAGTCAGACAGGAAAAGTGTTTACTCAGTAAGTATTAAGCTGGACAGTTTAGTCATCCTTTCAACTTTTATTTCTTAATTTAAAACAGTTTATGTTTTTGAGGTTCTCTGCAATTTCTCCTTAAGCTCAACTGTATTAACAAATCTGTGCCACAAATTTCTAAAAATGCTCTTATAGTGTCAAGCTGTGCCAGCCACAGCTTTTCCTTTAAATTTACTGTATAACAGTTTATAGTTAAAATATAAGAAATTGATAAAGTATAAATCAGCGTTTACTTTAGCATAATCTTCAATACAAAAGGATTTATTCGGAGAATGTAAGGAGAAAGGGATCATGAAATTATCCACTATCATCTCCTGCACAAATTTTCCTGCATAAAAGTAAAAAACTTCCATTATTCATAAAGTCTTCTATGAGAAGAAGCTAAAAGGGAATGTCCAAATCTATAAAGTTGTTCATATTTTTTGAGACTGATTTTGAAAAAAATCTTTTTCTCCAATCTTCCATATAAATCTTTTACTTGCATGTTTCATTGCTACATGTCTGTTATTCTATACAGGACTGAAACCTCATGTGGGACTTAATCTCTCCTTCAAAAAAAAAAAAAAAAAATTAAATTGTTTTAATTATTTAGTTGCTAAGCAGGAAAATGGCTAAAATAGAGAGATTCCTAGGAACAACCTCTCTTGTGACTAGGGAAATACCCTAAAATATAGGAACATACATTAAAAAAAATCATCAAAAATGTTTTCAAATAAACCTAAATCCATTACTCTAACTTGCTTTCATTTATTAACTTTTCAAATTGAGTCCAAACAATGCAGGCATTGTTCTATCTTCAGCTGACAGCAGGAATACCTGGGATGTGCAATAACACATGGAGCCATCTGACGAGAGATCATCCAGCCAGCTGAATAGATAAGCAGACAGACTTCTTCAAAAGCAGCCTCTGCAAGCCTGATCCTGCAAGGTGCTGAGAACCTCATCTCCTGCTGACTGCAATGGGAATTGAAAGCAGACAAAAAGCTGCAGCAGATGATCAATATCTCTGAGACCCAGGCCCTTAAGGAGCTCAGATTTCCAGTGCCTGGTTCTTACTGCAGATGTGTAACAGAAATAAAACTTACTGCAGCTCCAAGGAGTTGTTGCATTGGAACAAAAATTGGCCAAATCTTAATGCTTACAGCGACATCAGACCTCCATCCTAAAACATGAATGCCAGTGGTACACATGAGCAAGTTTAAAAATCAGGTTGAAAGTGAAGTACTTAAATGCATTAGCCAAGAGTGATAGCTAATTTTATATGCTTATGGTTCACATTACAAAATCTTTTTCTCTTCTCAAAGTATTGGTTAAGAAAACAACAGTAAAAAAAAAACAACAGTGACAAGGAAGTAAGGGAGGTATACAGTAGAGTATGTTGTCAAATTAAAAACAAAAACAAAAACCCTGTATTTTCATTTCAGATGCATCTCCACGACATCAGAAACACAGTCAGCAGAAACACAGCTGACAGTGTAAAGATAAATGGCCTCTGACACAGAGGCTCCATTTAAATTTTGGGGCTTAAGATACTTCTACACCTACACTGTCAAGTGAGCCAGAGGCTTTTCACACACTCCTCTCCTTTCCCTAAGGCAAATTATCGTTTTATTACTACTTATTAGCCTGGTGCTTGAAACACTGTCCTCCAATACATAGCTTGGAAACCAGAGAACCAAGATAGTCAGTGGACATACAATTTTTTTTTAATTTATTCCCCCAGAACAGTGCTCTATGCAACAGGCTGTTATACAAAAGATTATACCAAAGATTCTTTTGAATTAAAATTGCCATAGCTGCCATAGTGTTAGATAAACTCTGTATTTCTGCCTTTAGTGAGCTTTTTTGTCAACTAATTGCTTTTCAGTTTATTTTGAAATGCTTGCACTGCTAAGTTTATTTTGGGTCACAATAGCTGGTTGTTTAAAAAAGATTTGAATTTTTTTTGGAAAAGGGCATCAAACACCTTTTAGATAATATTGAAAACTTACTACTAAAAGGCTGTGTAAATAATCAATTGCTCAAAGACATATTATTTGATGGCAGGCCAAGGATCCACTTCACAAATTCATGACCCAATATATTTAAGTGAAAATAGGTAGCTAAGCAAAGTATATGAAAGAAGAAAAATGACATATGAGACCAAATAAAAAAGATCCTTTCAACAAAACACTAAATATGTACAACTATTCCAGATGTTTCTTGAGATGAAACAAAACATACAGTGATTGTTAACAGATTGATGATGGAGGATTAAAACAGTTGGAAAAAAAATTCCGAGGCACCAAATATATGTGGCACCTGAAGGCTTCAAGGTTAGGCTGAGAGCCCCAAGAGAACAGAGGCTCCAGGATGTCGATCATCCATCAGGTATCTGCACAAGGCTAAGAGAAACCCACTAGTGGAGAAAACATTACAGAACATTCATGAATAGGAGGGGAACGAGCATGTCCAAACACATGGAAGAATTACTACATTTTCTTCATGGATTTATTTTACCTCCAAGAAGATAAAGAACAATATCCCAGAGCACTTAACTGCATTGCGGGTTGGGATCCAAGGTTTTGGATTTGATTACAAGGCACATTAAGGTTGCATTTTTCACCTCTGTAGTAATAAGAACCTAAAGTTACATGCAGCTGAATTGATTCTCTAACAGACAGAAAACAGCATGTGAGATTTTGATGTCTTTGTTTTAATCATGAAGTAACATTAGAATCTGTAAAATTCTCTAACTGTTGTCTTCCCCCATTAATTACTCTTCAAAGTGTTTAGCCAAACCAGAAAAAAGACATGCAACAAACAGGTCTCTTCACTCCCAAGAAAACTTCTGGTTTGTTACGGGAAATGCTATGATGTGAACTCCTATAAGAGAATATGAAGAGATCTCACTATAGACATCCAAGTTACAAGCCCAAGTGCCTGGGGAGTAAGGTGACTCAAGAAATTTAGCGTAGATAAATGTAGAATACAGCACATGGAGAAAAAGCAATCTTAACTTTGTCCACAAACATTTTTCTCTGAAGTGCTGATTATCAGTCAGGAACAAGAATCTTGCAGCCATCAGATTCAGTGCTCTAAAAGTATCAGCTCAGAAGCCCTAAAACAAGCAAAAAATGAACAACCTCACAAAACTACTTTTTCCATCATCATCCTGATACAACAGTACCAGCTCTCATCTCAAAATTTTAGATAATATACTTGGAAGCATCAGAAAAACCTGGGCAGACTGGTGAGGACAGAGATGTTGGTTCTCTTTTCCTTGCACAGAAGCTAGACTTTAACCCACAGGTGAACAACATTCATCCTTTATATAATCATTGCTGTTCAGGATCCGCTTTCACATTTTTTCCACTGAGACTGAGAGAGGATGTTGGCTAAGTTATCTAACCTGGCTAAACTGCTCTTAGGTTCTCCTTTACCTTCGGGAGGGAAACAGATAGATAGTTTTCACAGGGGTGTGAAGACTATTCTTTCATTTATCTCCATTTTCTCTTGCCAAAGTGAAAGAACACTGCTGTGAAGCAAAGAGGGGCAACAACTTGCCCAGTTTCAGAAATAATCAGAAAAGAAATGTTGACTTTTCTTACAAACCTTTTCTGGATAGTATAATGGCTTCACACCTGCAGATAGCAAAGTTCCACCATGCTGCTCTGTCATTTCTCTTGCTAAATGTATTAGGGACAATATATGATGAGCTCAAGGACTGAGAGAAAGACAGGGAGATCACTCACCAACACTGTCAAAACATATGCAGTCAAATGAGATTATTTCAATATCTTACGTGTTGCTAATAGCCAAGACGGTAAGAAATCAAAAGCAAGCTTTTCACCCTTTTCTACAGCCTGCCCCCTAGCAGAACAGAGAAGCAAAGCACGGGGGCTGGGGCCAGTTCGTAGTGCTTCATCTTGACTGCTCCTTTGTGGCGGCTCTCCCTGCTTCACACGGGTCCTTCCCATGGGATGCCATCCCTTTCCCAGTTGATCCCGCATGGGCTTCTCACAAGCTGCAGCTCTCCAAATAGTACTCCAACACAGCTCCATACTACAGTGCTACATTTCAGGCACTGCTTCAGAACAGGTCCCTCATGGGCAGCAGCATTCCCAGACGACCTGCTGCATCGGGGCCCCTCCACAGCTGCAGGTAGAGATCTGCTCTGCAAAGTGCCCATGGGTTGCAGGGGGACAGCTTGCTCCATCATGGGCTTCTCCTGGGCTGCAGGAGCTTCTGCTCTGCACCTGAAGCACCTCCAGCCCTCATTCTGCACTGACCTTAGTGGGTGCAGGCTGCTTCTCTCATGTGTCCTCACTCCTCTCCCAGTGGCTGTCATGCAGCAGTTTTTCCTTTCTTCCATCTGCTCTCACAGAGGAACGATCAGCATCACTCTTGTCTGTCTCATCTCTGGCAGCAGTAAGTCCCCGTTGAAGCAGCTGAAGCTGGATTTGATCTGATATGGGACAGATACTGGGCTCTGCTTACAAAGGCCATCCCTGCAGCCCCTTTGCTCCATAAATCTAGTAAAACAGAAGTGAAAACTTTAAAACAGTTCCTCACAGTGAGTAGTGGCACTGTTCTCTGTTTATTTTTCACTTGTTGGAGATGTCTCAAATGTAACAAAGTCAGCCTTTTTGAAATGTACCTATGCCATTTTCAGCATGCACTGAAATTCCTGAACTCTTTAAAGCCCCTCTAAGAGTCTCATCTGATTCTTGTAAATGAAAGTGGATTCAAGCAAAAACCTCCTTGTTTAACACAACACAATTACACATAATCATTAAATATTTCATGCTCTTTACCCACAGCATCCAAGCTTTTAAATTAGATGAGAATTACGTTTCTCATTTTCTAGGAATAATATTTTAGAACTGCAGTCGTTTCCTAGCAGTTTTAAAACACAGATAATGTCTCAAATGCATATGAAATTAGAACTACTGGAAAAACAAACTACTAACAAGATAAAATGTACTGATGGGGTTACTCAAAATTATAGGAAAAGGAAAAAATATTACCAGCACCACAAGAAAATACCCTTGAGGAATGAGAAACACATGGGTGGGTGTATAGAATTCTGTATCTACCTAAATCTTTAATAGGTTTCCCCCACTCCTCCAGTAGTGAAATATGTTTTCTTGAAATTTCTGGCAAAAGCTGCCTTCAAGTAAACCAGCAGCTAAACTAAAACCTACTAACAAAATATCAAACACTGACACATGTACACTAAAAAAAAAAAGAAGAGTTAGGATTCCCAAGAGGTTTGCAGCAGCCACACTTAAAACCTTGATGCTGCATTGTTTCATGAGAAGGATACTAAATGAATGTCATTCTTACAATTTCTTGCTCTGTTAATGTATTATCAGTGCACCTGTTCTGCTCTGCTAACTCCCACAGTAGATCAGGTCTTTACTGGCTTAAGAGTAATTCAGTAGTGCTGTATTCCCACAGATAGAAGATACAGAAGAACGAAAGCATCAAAATTGACAGAAATTAAGTGGAGTCAATCTGAAAAGGATTTTCAAGAATATTATTTAGTTACTTAGATGAAGATATTTTAGTTTCAGAAGGTAAAATTACGACAATTTAAACAGACTAAATTTCATTGTATGTATTAAGCACCTCCTGTTCAATTTGTAACCTCCCAAGTGGCCTCGTCACTTCCCAACTCTCTGTGCAGTAGAGATACTACCATTTATCTCCTGTGATTTGAGGTTTCTTGATCCTAAAAAGCTGGGATGCAATATTTATTAACACTTGGCTATTTACCAAGTGGCATTAAAAAGCAGATTCCCTGCTGATATTTCACATGGAAAAAAAGCTAAGCAGACCACATATCATTTTGTGGTAAATCAAATAAAATTTCCCTTTCTAATTTTATAACCATCTTCTTTTAACTATCAGGTCTAAGTCAAAGCTAGCATATTTTGGCCTATGAAGAAACTTCTGATAAAACCTCTCACTCTTCTACTGAAAGGACAATACACTTTTTTCAGGAAATTTGGTGACTGAGAAAATACTTAAAAACAAATCTTGACCCTGAAGTCTGAGAGATGTGTGTCTGGAATATCTGTGTAATACTTTCAGCAACTTTCTGTTTTGGAATAAATGAAGAATGAAGTTCCCCCAAGGAATCTACCTTGATTTTACACTGATTCTACTAAACACTGGAACTGAGCTATGGACCATAGCATGAATTATAATATTATACACACCACACATTAAATTATATTTCATAATATATAGTTAATTTTTTCAATTCTGTTTTAAAAATAAACTTCTCTCACATGGATTAGAATTGCTCCCCTACCAACCACCTAGCAGTATAAGCATGGTATACAGATTCATTCATGAAGCTTATGTATTTCAGTATCTGTCACTTTCATGACATGATGAAAGGTTTAGATGTGTTGAAAATACCACGTGATTAAATAGTGTCTGCATGAGATTCTACAACATGCTTTCTAGTTCAGACTTCCTTTTCACCTTCTCTAGCAATGTAGCTAAAATTGCATTAATAGCTCCACACTATAATATCATCAGCTGCAGAGTCTGGAGGAGCCTGTGCACTGCTGGTATCAAGTTGGCTTTCCAGCTGAGCACACTTCTCTTCAGTGCAATATTTCTTTTGTCCTTGCAGCAGCATCATTTTCTTTCTTTTGCAGGGCACAAGTTCCCAACTACTCAGACAGCTGTTATTTAAAATACAGGATTTTGAAACTTTACTAAAGCTTCACCTTCTTCCAAAAGAAGTCAGACACATCCAGGTAAAAGAAAATAAACGTTTACTAACAGCACGTGTTAATTTAACTCAGAAATAAGACCTGTTTACAAGCTTTGCTGACTAAGAGTCTAATCAAAGATTTTTCCCTCGCTTTCAAACTGCATTAGACTAATTTCAATCATTAGTTTAAGATTAATCTCACCTTCTCACAAGAACATAGCGAGAAAATATGATGGAAAAGATCTCAAAAGTTGAAATGAGGAGATCACTCAGCAATTACCTTAACAGGCAGAACAAACTCAACAAAAGGAGCCTACTTGCCTTACTTGCCTACTGCTAACAGACCAGAGCACTGAGAATTAAAAGCAAACTAAAAACCCCTTCCCCCTCCCCCCTCCCTTTCACCCTCTTCTACCTCCTCCCTATAACCAGCACAGAAGAATAGGGAATGAGGGACATGGTCAGTACACAACAATTTCTCTCATCTGTTCCTTTACGGTCACCCTCCTTCTAGATGCTTCAACATGAAGTCCCTACCAGGGGATGCCATCCTTCCCCAGCTGCTCCTGTGTGGACTTCGCACAGCTCTTCAAACACTTCTCCAACATGGCTCCATATCTCTGTGTCCATCCTTCAGGAATGCACTGCTCCAGCACAGGTCCCCACAGGCAGCAGCTCCCCTAGACCCACTCCATTAGCTGCAGCCCATCCAGTGCCTGTCCATGTGGGATCACACTCCAACAGCTCTATGTCACTTAAGGCAGTCCTGTGAAACCTGGCCACCAGGGCTGTTTCTTGTTTACTGTGATCCTAGTTAAAGCTCACTGCTGAGCTGGAAACTGAAATATTTAGCCATCTGCAGCTTTTCAAGTTCTATTCATTTTCTTGTACGTCCTAACACCTTCTGTGTAGGAGCAAGTGATGATTCCCCAAATTATTGGCTTAAAAGTGCTCAAAGAGACAGAGCTGATGAAAACAATAGGCTGAGCTCCCAGAAATATTATTTTAGAACTCTGAGATATGATTAAATGCTTATAAATGACACATAACCCCTGCTGGGAACCAGAATAACTGCCATCTCATCTTTCCAAAGGACCAGGCTTTATCTGGCATGCTAGAAATTCTTTACTTATGCCAATTGTAACACTTTCAAATGGTGTTAAAGCTCAAATACTTCACAGTCAAAATAGATTATGCATAGATACATATATATTGGGAGAGAAGTAAATAGCAAGATGGCTCATAAAACAGGCTCAAAGTACTTCATTTTGCTGCCTTAAGATGACTGGTTTAGTATAATATGTTCTGACTGTTTTGTCCCAAGGTAAGGTAAGACTTTACATGAGACTTCAAAAACTCTTCCCAAAGAGTATGCTGTTGGCATCCACAGCATGATTCCTAATGTGCCTTTACGCAGCTGAAAGACTGCTGTGCCAACTCCCTCCAAGGATGCTCCTCTTTTGCAAGGCCTCTTCCTCATATGTGCTTGTTCTTTCCAAGCCTTTTCCCAGGCAAAATGATTCCACCATTATTCCCCAGCTGTAAAGCTTTCCCAGCTCCTCTGCCAAAAAACAGAATTGCCAGGACAGTCTGGGTGACAACTGGTGTTCCTCTTCCCAACTAGTTCCACAGTTCATGGCCTGCACCATGAAAAAAAATTGATTTTTTGGAGCTATATCAAACTTCTCTTCTCCCTGCCCATTTCTTTAACCCACTGCACTGGGGAAAGTTCTTTGTCACATACTGGCAACTAAAAATAATCTAAGACTTTCTTCCCCTATATTTGTTCACAGGATTTAAATGAACACAATAAGGCAAATGACACATCAGGATATACACAGCTTTTGGCAGGTTACCTAACAGGATGAGGTGATTTCTCAGCACAGTTTATGTCCTGTCAGATCTTTCTGATGATCGTTATTTATCATTTCTATAATAATTATTAATTATCAGTTAAGATTTTTGTTTCCTTTTCCAAATTTCTCTCTTTTTTTCCTAAAATGTACTCCTATAAATTAAACGACATTAGGCGAGTTGCTGCCTCTCAGCTCATCTGAAAATGCCAGTAATAAGCAGCAGTGGTCTTCTTCAAAACCATGCTAACGTTGAATTACAGCTGTAAAGCTTGACACTTGAATTTAAATAAATAGAAGCTTTCTGAATATTTCTAAGATAGCAAATAATCATCTTTTTCACTTAAAATCATCATTCAAAATTCTTCATTCTTTTGGTTTCATTTCAAAGATAGAATTTCTCACATTTACAATGTTCTTCATTTAAATTAGATCTTAAAAATACTCTAAAAATTATCCAGTCCACCGTGTCCTACAAAAAACACATTTACCTCTGTTTTTTCCCCACATCCAACGCTTCACCTGAGCCTTTTTTCTTTATCCCCAAAATGACAATCCTGCCATATTGTTTAACTAAATAAACTTACGGCTTCTTTGCTGCCATGGCTAAACATGGTTTAAATAATGAAAGAGATTTCATCTTTACCTGGGATTTTAGCCACCTTCAGCTAGGGTGCATATCCTGATTTCCAGATCATCTAGGGAACACCAGAAGAATTAAAAAATTAACATCAACAGCCAATAAATTCTCCACCTGGAACTGATGACAAAAGTAAATCTCACCAGGAACACCTTTGCTGAAGCAGCTGGTATTCAGTTTCTGATAATTATTGCACAGGTGTATCATATCCCTCTTTGTATCTACTTTTGAAATAATTATATTGGTCAGAACATCTGGTCATGACATTTCATCCTATCCAACCCCTGAAGCATTAACATTACCATGCACTCTACACACATAAAACAAAGAAATGCCCCTCAACTCAGAGACAAGGACAGGGAGTTCAGCAGCAGCTCTGTAGTGTTATTAGAGAATCAAAAAGGATTCTTCGAATACAAGTATGTCACACAGAACCTCATGAAGAGGTCAGATCTTGGGTTATATTTCACAAGAACAGAAAAGTGATCACAAGGCATAAACCACCTATTATTATCCTGGAGTAGAGAGGAGCCTTTATTAAAAGGGAAGCAGACCCACTCTTCTCTTTAAATGCTCGCTGTTGGAGCTCCTCAGCTGGGACTACAGCAGAGACACTTTCTTTGTCAGAAGCAGAGACTTCAAAGAAGCATCAACCTGAGCTGCTCAGAATATTTCTGTAAAACATTCCATTTTTTTAGAATTGTCATCTTCAAAAACTTGAACCTAGTGAGAAGACTAGGTTCAGTATTGGCTACTTTTAAAAAAGAAGAGAAAAATGAGTTGAAGATACCTTCTGATGAACAAAAAATCACTGTACAGAATACAGCTGCCCTCTTCTATTTCTTTCATGGCTCCTTCTGAACAGGCTACTGGTTCTCATCAACATCCATGAACTATTTTTAAAGGATCTATGAAAGGCAAATGAGAAAAGCAAACAAGTATTACATGGCTTAAATTCTCTATAAAAGGCTCGACACCAGCAATGGGAAATGTTTCCATCTGTATGCTCTTATTTCTCTTCTAAGCCCCCTTAACTTTTTGGTCAGGTGGAAAATCCTTTCCAATTCATTCTCAGTTGATTGTTAATTTGCAGATTTCCTTATTCCCCATACACGTAAATAAATTCTGTCTACTAGGGAGGTGACATTAGTGTGGCCAAGGCATATCAACTACTCTAAAACTCATGGAACTGATCCTCCAAGACAGGCACTTTTTGGAGCAAATGTGAGTGAAGTGGCAGACAGAGGCTCAGTCTGGGCAATGACACTGCTCCATGAGTTCACAGGAAGGTCTTTCAAATGGATTGAGATGCCTAACAGAGGGGAAAAAAGCAACACTCTAGAGAGGACAATACTGAACATACTGACTTCTTTATTGCTGAAAGACACCTGCTCGAAGCGCAAATATTACCGGCATCATGTTGTGTTATTTACAAACCACTTCAGACACCATCCTCCAAACGTCTTTTGAAAATCTGGTCTGCCAAATGTAAGAGCTGCATTAGCAGTACACTCCTAAAACTACCTCAGAAGTTATCAATCTATCCATCTGTCTTTCATGGAACTTGGGGATGAAAAAGAGCTTATAGGTCATTCAGTTCATATCACTGCCAATGCAAGACTGTTCCACGCTGTGTATTCCTAGGGGTTTATCCAGGTTTTAATGACTCAAGTAAAGGAGCTTTCATCAATTTTCTCCAGAGACTATTCTCAACTGTAAAAGATTTCACTGTAAAGAAACAATTCCTGACACTCAGCCTAAAATATTCCCTTGTTGACTTTTCCATTCATTTTGATCATACATACATATTATGCAGCAAAAGCCAAAATGCTCCCAGTTACATCATACAGTCTTTTAAAAGTTAGTCACATTGCCTTGGTGTAATGCCGAAAAAAATTTGCACTTTGTTCTTCAGAAAATCTTGATGGAGGTAGCAGCTTTATTTTCATGACACACTAAAAGAATAAAGGATATAAACTGGCAGAAACTTCACATCATATGAAACTCCACAACTCTGCATTATCCAGGCCCTCTTTGACGGTTGTGAAAGAAATAAAAGGCCATGATCCATTCGGATTTTATAAATGAAAAGGTGCTGTGGAGTGTGTAGATAGCAGATGACATCATTTACCAGTAAACAATTTGCAGACCAAGTGCAGCCTCTGTGCAAATTTTCACCATTGTAATAAGTCCATTCCTACACAGAGCTGCAGCATATTGGTTCATCAATTCTATTAAAGCAACAATAACTCACTGTTAACTCGCAGAGCCCTTGGCTTCCAACCATAGCATTTATTCAGGGAGTGTTCTGTATTTACACATTCTTAAGTCATGAGCAGCCTTCTCTAAGGGTAAGGCATTGTTGCAACTCCATGCAACATGTGGCCTGGGGATACATAAATACATAATCCTACATTGCCAGTTGTAAAATGTTTTTACTAATATACATTTTTTTTCTCAGGGACCCCCTAAAATATTCTTTTCAAGATTATTTTCAAACCTCTAAGGTTCCTTTCAAAGCAGGAACAGCCAGTACAATTTGTGTTTAAATGTGAATCTTGATGACTTTGACTATTGATCAGATTGCTTAATTCAACTTCATAAAAAATAATGTGATAGGTAATAGTAGAAAGACCTGTGTATACTTCAGTTTACATATTTACAAGTGAAATAAAATCTGAATTTGAGCCTATGTAGATATTAAAAACAGATGAAATTTCTCTGACTTTCACTGACTGGTCCTTCAATTAGTTGATTCTTCAGTTCTGCCTAAATTTCTTGTGACATTTTATTCATTGGCACAATAATAATAGGTCATTTTCAATAATGTGTGGCTAGCCCCAGACAAGGAGATTAAGCAATTTCTCTTATTTCCCATGGGAAATATTAAGGTCAGTGTAAAGGCTACCAGAACAGAAAGGGTTAAAATTCCAGTGCCAGAACTCCTGCAGTCATTCCATAACCTAAAGCAAAGAAAACCAGTGTTAGGTCTGCCAGTCCCTTCAGCACTGGGGGAAAAAAGTAACCAAAACCTGCACAATCAGGATTTATTCATTTACTTATTTTATGTGGATCACTGAAGTATTTTACTACTTTCTTTTCTTTGTTCTTCTATTCAGCAGCTCCTCTGAGTAAGGAATGCTGTGGAGACCTGAAATATGAAATATCTAGTGTGGGTAAATCTAACTTCCAATTGCGTTTTGATTGTCCTTACCCTCCTGCCATGTCTCTGATCTTCAAGACAAATGCTCCTAAGGTTGTAGATGTAGGAATTATGTTAGAAGCCCACAGAAGCCTCACAGCAGCTGATAGATCCAGCAATTCACTGACCTGTAACTGATTGCTGTCACTGTCACTCACGCCCATCTGAATCAGTCTCCGGATGATGCGAATAGTGCCTGTTCAGACTTCTGGATCCACAATCGTTAAAAAATTGGTGCAATTTACAGAGCATGAAGTTGAGATACAGCTGCCTCAGGACAATTCCTAGTCCACCCTATTTTACACTCCTCATTCTGGTTAGTCCATTGAGTTAGCTTCCAGATTACATCAGTGCAGTGAGTGTAAGTTGCATCTGCAGCAGAACCACAACAAGGAAGGAAAGCCTTACATATGAGAAATTCCATTTACGCCACTCTGCATATCTTCGTCCTAAAGAAAAGAAGGACAGCAGTCTGACCAAAAGCACGCTGCCTAAGTTGCATTCTTTCAGTATTTGCAGTTCCATAACGATTACACATGCAAAAAAGGCTACAGATAAAATGAATCTCTCAGTAATACCAATGCAACTCAGTTTACAGTTGGTACTAGAACAAGATACTGTTAGAATCTCTTAACTATAATACTAGTTAGTTCAGCTAACCTAATTTCTCTGAGAATGAGAGTAAAATACGAAAACTTGAGCAACGAAAGCCTAAAGAAATATCTCTGTCATTCCTACAAAAATGAACTGCTTCGCTTGCAGATAAGGGACAAGGTAGGAAAACAAAACTTGCCTAAAATAGAAAGAAAAAAAACATGCCTAAAAAAAAAAAAAACTGGTATAAAATTACTTATTTATTTTCTTCACAGTGCTTTAGCATGTCTGTTTAAGGTCATATTCTAAAGATAAGCATCTGAGATCAGACAGAAAATTGAAGGAATTATCTGGGGGGAGTTTTCCTGCACTTCACACATAATTTGAGATTATTAAAGCAAATCCAGAGTGTAACTGTGAAATGACATTGTGGACTTTCTGACACAGTTGTTGTATGTGAATAGGTATAACATTAAAATGTACCATGAAAGATACGTTTGAAAGATGGTGTTTAATCAGTAAATCCATAAGGCTTCCGTATTCTTCCGCTACTGTTTGCCTGTAAAATCAGATTCTAGACAAGAAAAGAGAATATTCAAATTGTACAGAAAATCTATCTTATAGTGTCCTAGTACCTGGTGGTAAAGTTTTGATTAGTCACTCTGCTTCTTAAGATAACAATTTACAAAGCTAACTTATTTCTGTAACTAACTACTGGAGACAAGGTTGTATCTATAATGGGGAAGAATGAAAGATAAAATATGAGTCTATTTCCAAGTAATTCAAATTCTGATTCACATCAAAAGCTTTTGGCAAGAAATTTCAAAATTTTGCCACAAAAACAAAACAAAACAAACAAACAAACAAACAACAAAAAAAACCGTAAATGACCTCTTATTGTAGAATACAAGGGAAAAGCAAATTGCTGAAGATTCACTCTCTTGCTAGCTTGCAGGAGTGCTTGCCAGAGAAGTGGAGAAACAGAATTCAAGTCTCAGATACATCAGAGATGCAGACCTGTAGCAAGGACTCTATCCATGAGGCCTTTCAGTTCCATCTCTGGGTGCTGATAGAGCTGAAATATTTTTCCTAGTCTTGTAGGAGAAGCATTTGTCACCACCTCAGTACCATGAAACTAGCAGTAGATGGGAAAACTTCAAAAATCCTACTGGTGTGACAAATTGCAGGATATGGAAAAATAGCGATTACAAGTTTGCAATTACCAAACAGATGCAATGATATCAGTGAGAGAGATGAAAAAAAAAAAATTAAGTCACGGAATTAAACTCAGATTTACCATGATTAAGTACATGGGATCTTTTCTTTTCAGCTGAAAATCACTGATTTATATCATTAGGATACTTGTTCAGTTGCTACTGGGACAAATGCTATCATTGGGTTCTGAACTTATAAGTCAGGACCACTTTCAAAGCCTATGAAAATTCCTAATACATTTCAAACATGAAAGAAAGTATTTTGAAAAGCAGCAGTCTGGCCAGATCTGTCTTTTTTACAGGTCTTCCTCATATCCTTCTTCCATTTTATTTTATTTTGTGGATGAAACTGCTTGGTTTGCTAGCATTCATCTTTTGCAGCCTGAACATTTCAGGAAGCATGAGCAAAAAGATGTTGATTTTTCATCTTGGACTGCTTCAGCTGAGTTCCAGGTTTAGATTTATGTGCTGGCAAATGACACCTCCTTCCCCACCCCCTCCCCAATTTTTTGATGAGATACCCAGAGTAAGTGATTTCTCAGATTATTCCCTCCCAACTTGCATCATTTTATTATGATAAATTTCTTTAGTTTGGATTCAGTATTTGAGCAGTTTCATGCTCCAAATCCTTAGCATAATGAATAGTATGAATCACTCACTGTACCTGTATTTTTCTCTCAAACTGCACAGGGCTGCTGTTCAGATCAACATTTCTAATTGCTGTTTTTACAATCCGAGCAGTGTCCTGTAGAAATGACAGCAGCTCTATGAAAGACCAAAGATGATTGCATCCGCCTTCTCCTCTCTCACATCTCCCACCTTGCACAACCTGAAGCCAGAAACGAAACCTACTCAGCTGAAAACTTGTGGGTGGTAATTCACTTACATAGCCTGCAAAAAAAAAAAAAACAAAAACAAAAAACAAAAAAAACAAAACATATTATGTCAAAACTTATGAAGACATTCCCACTATCTCTACCACTCTTGCAAGAGGGGACTTGTGCATGTTTAAGAGCTTCAAGGAATGCTGACAGGAGGTCACTCAAACAGCACTCAGACCATATCGGAACAGTTTCAGACATACACTGTAACACTGAAACATATGTGCCAAGAACAAGTGGAATGATAACAGAAATAAAGGGCAAAAAGTGATGGGTTAACAAAATAGTTTTACTGAAATAAAGTCTTGACAGTAGTTCAAGTTAAGCCATAGACTCTTTCAGGTTCCTATGCACTTGAATGCTGAAATTGTATTTGTCTTTGGCATCTGGCAATGTCATTTAATATGTTCTTACGGCTCTGAATGCAGTTAAGCATGCACTGTATATTATTTTATGATGTTTGAATTGGAATCACACATTCTGGGTACAAGTACTCATGTTTTTGCAGATTCTTGTGTAAAGCTGGGAGAACCTGTTTCCAATTTCATGACCGTTTATCGCTAATCCAAAATGACTGCAGCATTACCTACAGACAGGAAGCTGGATGAGGGCTTGTGTGCTTTGGATGCATCATGCTCTTCCCAGGAAACTCTGTTAAACTAGTTTTATGCTTACATGAGGGGAAGACAGAAATTACTAATGGACATGACTGTGCCTAATCTATATATAGTTTAGCAAAATAAAAGTAAAATTGAGATGGGTCTTATAGCAGCTCTTCATCCACATGAGCTCTAATACTTATTTCAGCATTCCATCCAGGCTTCTGCTTTTGCTTTCACAAAACTCATGCTGCATAAAAGAGTCCTGTGCTCACTAGTTTAGCCAAATTTCAGGAATGTTACAAGTTTGGGTCCCTGGCCCATGTTAACTTCTCCTAAAATAAATAAAATCTTACTGCAAAACATTTCTTTTTTATCATTCATGCTATCATCTTGCAAGAGATTACACTAAACTGTAGCTCTGTCACATGTCAAAGGAAACATACTGCAGAACATTCCTTTGAGGAGCAAAAAAATAATGCTGATGAGAGGATGGATTAAGCTGTCCACCAGAACAACTAGGAACAGGCTAAAAGATACACACTTAGCATTTTATGAACTTCTAAAACTTTAGAGGTTCATTTCGGAGAGCAGCTGATCTAGAATTGGTGTAATAACTCTTGCGAGAAAAGCTCTCTCCTGAGATTTATAACAGTCCTGGATTTTGACAGATAGAAATAGCTGTAACGTTGCTTTCCTTGTAATTCTAAATTTTCAAGTTCAATCATAGCAATGAAAAGATATTAGAAAAAATTAACTACTTCATTGGAATTTCTAGAAAAAGATTAGCATCTGGTTTGCTCAAAGAGGATTTAGTCTGATTGGATTGTTTTTTATTCTGTTAAAATGGATTGTTCGTACTGCAATAGAATGCTATTTATTTAAAACAGGAACTGAAATACCTAAGATTCTGAATGAAAAAATACTTCTAGAAACCATTTAAAACTATTTCATCTAGTGGCATTGCATATTTTTAGGTCTTCTATTGTTCTGTATAAGCTCAAGGAATAATACAATTTCAAAAAACAAAGAAAAAAAATCATGCATTTTTACATAAGAACAAGCACGGGATTACATAGAACAAACATTCCCTCTAATGCTTCTTTCTCCAAAAATTTATTAACTGAGAAGTTGCCATCGCTCCTTGCCCTTGGAAGTAAGTTACAGAGAAGGAAACCTTCTTGACACAGCTTACAGAAGTGATGGAATTATCTGGAGGCAAATCTTTCTAATATTTGCTTACTATACAAGAGGCAAATATCCTTTCTTTCTATGAAAACATTATTCTGGTTATTTGACTAACATAATTATGAATTACAGAATATTTTGGTGTTGTTTTTTTTTGTTTGTTTTTAACGACACACATTTTCTCCTCTGTCAGTGCCTTCAGGGTTTTTTCCCAATAGTTTTATTGGATTTTATGTATTTAGTTACAGCAGATTATGATTTCTGTGGCTAACTTTTTAACTGTCTAACCATTTAATGGAAAGGAAATTTAAAAATCAACAAAAATGCCAGTGCATATTCACATCCCTTCCAAATAATTCAATTTGTAGAAAATGAAGAACAAAGCCATGTTTGTCCCTTGCCACCAGAGCTCTTTAACATGAAACTCACCAGAGCTCAACAGCTGTGAAGCCACAGACACTATTCCATATCCTAAGGGAAAAATAACCAGTTTGAGGCAGCTCTAAATAGCTCTCTGCATATCTTCAATACAAGTTCTCCTTTCCTTGGAAATAGTCTAAGACTTAGTCCCAGTGTTTTCCAAGCAGCATCTGGGTAGTTATGCCTAGAAAAACAACTGAAAACAATGTCAAACTGTCCAGAAGGTACTTAAAGGAGCTGAGCTTCCCAAAATGAAAAACTGCTTTTTGTAGGCCATTAACTATGAAAAGTGGAGTAGGCAATGAGTTTTTGGGATGAATGAGGGGGTACCGAAGCACAAGAATTGATTACTGTGACCAAACAAGCAAAGCAGGCAGATAAGGATACAGAAATCACCACGGTGGCTATACGCACACTGTAGTAATCCGTAAGATATTGCACCCCATCTACCTCTACATTCTGCAAAATAAATGCAGCTGAGCAAAATCACAGTTGTAAATACCAATGGTACTAACTCTGAGCAAGAAAATGAGTTCACAGTTAAGAGAGGATTAAGCAAAAAATATGCCTATTCCATTTCTACCTATCAGACGCATTTTGCATGACCTTAAATGAGTTGCTTCACTTTTCTGCTTTAATGGCCTTAATAACCACAAGATGTTTGCCACTTTCAAAACATTCTACAGCTTGTAAAGAAATATGCTCAGTTCTTTCTATTAAATATTTCACATGAAATAATTAAATAGAAATTGGAGTAAAGAGTGTGAAAGCTCCACGTATCTTCCCAGCATAAGGGAAATCTGAGCTGCATGCCTTGTTTCAATATCTTGGACTGAGCAATATTATGCTTGCTGCCTGTACACCTTGGAGCACAACACATGTTAATGGCATCTGTGGAATAAGCAGAAAGCGTAATTCCCTCTCCCACATCCCAGTTGTTAGGCATCCTCACAGAAGTGTTTGATTTCCTCCAGGCAAAAAAAAATAACCTGAACTGTCATTCTGGAGATGAGACAAAACATTGAGAAATTGGAGAATAAGATGGCAGCTGCCTCAGCAGTAACTCCTCTGTTCAAGGAGCCGAAACTATTTATTAGGTGTGCTTGGCCAGCTCACGGGATTTGCACCCCAGTGGTTCAATCAGGCAGGAGAACACACCAAGGGCAGAACACTGGGGTTCAATACACCCAAACAGAAGGTGCATCTCAGCACACTGCTTTTGGCACTCAAGAAATATTGGCACATCAATCAGAGGTATCCTAAAATGCTGACAGCAGCTGAACTTTTCAAAAATAGGATTCCAGTGCTAAATGCTTAGAATCACAAGATATAGGTTCTGGTATGCCAAAGAAGATTTGGTCCTAAACACCTACTTAACGATAACTGGGGAAAATAAATTAAAAAAAATTAAAAATACTGATTTTCCCTCCAAAAAGAGCATATTTGGGAAAAAAAAAAAAAAAAAAATTGTAGTACACTATCATTTTAAGCTTCAAAGAAATGTACTCTGTGTCAAAGATATAAACTCTGTTTAAACCCTTAGATTTCTTTCCATTATCCCTTTCTATAATGCCTGAAAGGCTGGACAGCAGGAGTCTCATCTCAGGTCCTGGTGTGACTCAGAGTAATCTTGAACCACAAGAAAAAGAAAATCAAGGTACATAATTAACCTAAGCACGGAAGGTTAATCTTGTTCATGACTTTTTTTTTTTAATTGCTACGTTCATCCAAATACAGGGTAGTAGCAGGCTTCTTATTTCAGAATGTAAAACAGCCATTCCCACAGAATTCACAGAGCAATCTGCTCTGTGTTTAAAAACAAACAAATAAACAAACAAACAAGCCACCACCAAATGCTCTGCTTTCTGAACGCACTGAAAAGCTAGAAAACCAGATTCACCGATAAATTCCAGCTGCCTTGCACTCTTTTGGCAACTCAAAACAGCTGTAAAGATGGTTTATCTGAGTTTAGCCAAGTGTACAGAACATCATCAGAGCACAGAGAAGTCAGGACTTTCTCCTGAGTCTTACTGATAAAAAATATTACACTACTACTACACAAAGCGCAGAGAAACAGCATGAAAAATACTCTTCCAACTGTTAAACACTGTTAATCTGGACTAATCACTTATTCCACAGAAGGATGGGAAAAAGTCTCCATTTTCTGTTCATCAGCTGTCTCTCTTAAAAATCTGCGTGCATGCCTCTTTAAAAATACTCAGGACAACATAACTATGTTTAAAATGCTCCAAAAGTATCAATTTTTAATGATATTTGAATGTGTTTTGTTATACCACATATTTGAAATATGAAAATTGGCAAAGCTGCCCCATTGTAAACATAAGGTATTTTATACAGGGGCTATATATTTAAAATATACGTGCAATAAATTTTAAGCAAATATATTACAAAGATATAGAAATCTTATATTTTTTCCATATGGAAAGAAATGATCCCAGTTACAGCCATTTTATTGTTCACTACAGACAGTTATGTGAAGCAGATTGCACTCATTGTATTTTTTTCCTACAAATCTGGAGATTTTTTTGCAGATCCCTCACATACAGTTACCACAATAAGTGAATCCTGTTGCAGACAATGTAACAGCAATGTAAAAGCTATTTCTTCAGCTCTATTTGCCAAGCAGCATGTTTTAGTGTGAGCTCTTAAAAAACAGGAAAGTAAATCAGTCCTACATGGGTTCTTGTCCTTGGTCCTCAGAGATCCGTGTCTTTATATCCTTGATTTAATCATCCTGTGTCTTAAGACTTCTACTTACAGACTCCTTTTGGTATTGGTAATACACACATCAGAAACACGGTGATATTAAGATAACCTAGCAATTTAACTATTATTTGAAAACCCCTCATACTATTAACAGATAAACTTCACCTCACAGCCAATTTATTGTTGCTGTATTCGGCTTTTCAAATAAGGACTGAACTGTTGCTGACAGCACTTTGAATGATAGATTTTGCTTACCTGTAAAACATCTTATTTGTTAAAAATAAATTCTCAACTGAAAGCAAATTTATTCATGCATTTAAATTTAAAAAAAAAAAAAAATCCATATTTGACTCCGGATGCAAATTTCCTAGCCTTTTCGTGATGCCTGAGGTGCTCATGAGACAAAGGTAAGGATCAAAAGGAAAACAGATGTGTTCTCCAATCATGTAAACTTTCTCTTAGACACGAAAACAAATGTCCTGAGGCAAATCCATTTATAAAAGCTAACACCGGTTTTTCAGAAGATTTCTGACTGTGCCTTCCCATCCCATTATTGCTGTTTAAAGTCTGCTGTTTTAAAGCTCCCATATCCACATAATTAGAGAGTAGATCTGTCCTTTTTTGAAAGATCCAAAATACCAGAGTGAGCGGAACATGGAGTCATTTCTTAACTTTCTCAGATGATAAACTTCACTCTGCATTAAAGAAATTCTTTAAATTGTATTCAGACAAAATCTCACTTGGGAATCTACTGGCTTAAGACACTAAACACCAGTTACTTCACCACTACAGAAAATCCCAAGTATTCAGTTTACTAAATCAAATTTTGGAGCAACTCTCCTGTGGCTGGTGCACCTCCACTAGAAATATGAGATGAGGCAGTTGGGCTTATTCAGCCTGAAGAAGAAAAGGCTCAGAGGAGACCTCACTATGGCCTTCCAGTACTTAAGGAGAGCTTAAAATCAGGAAGAAGACAATGTCTGGTAGTGATAGGACAAGGGGGAACAGTTTAAAAGGAAAAGAGTAAAGATTAGTTGTTAGGGGAAACTTTTTTCACTCAGAAGATGGTCAGGCACTGGAACATGTTGCCCTGAGAAGCTGTGTATACCCAGTCCCTGGAAATGCTTAAGACCAGGATGAACGGGGCCCTGCACAGCCTAGCATTTGATTTTGTGGGCAGCAGCCCTGCCCACAGCAGGGGGTTTGGAACTAGATGATGCTTGATGTCCCTTCCAACCCAAACCATTCTCTGATTCTATGAAATTCCATCACTACTGCAGACAGTTAATGACACTTGACACTTCAGACTTGCTGAAAAATCCTCTTTGAACTGCCTAGTAGCAATTTGACTATCCTGCTTTTCTGCAACAATCAAATGAAAATAAACAAATGCAGCTTCTGAACAAACAAAAGGACTCCATAAAGACTCATTCAGACACTAACATCACCTTGGAACTAGTAGGTCAAAAGATGACAGAAACTTCAATGGCTTACACAGAAAAATAATTAATTACTTAATAATTTCTGAATCACTGTGCACTTAACAGCTCCTTTAGTGTCAGTATTTTTTCTACAGCTCCCAAAAGCCTCATCTTCTAACGGAAATTGTTAGAAGTTGGCATCTTCTGTTATTTGCTTGCACTTCAGTGGCATAGAGGACTTTCAAAAGTCCTGCAGTGAATTAAGGTGTCATCAAGGAAAAAATGGTAATTGAATCACATGTGATAGTAAAATATCCTAGTTTTAACCAATCCAGGTAAAAACAGCAGTGAATAGTGTCATGGGCTATACCTTCTGTCTGTGGTCACAGTACACAGCCACAGCCTCGGGAGTGTTTGTGTGTTGGTTTTGATATGCATATAAAAACCTGTTAGTTTCACTGTTATTTTATCACGCTAAATAGAATGAGTTAAGACAGGTATGCCAGCATGTGCCAAATACCTCTGTTTTTTTAACAGATTTTCTCTGAAGATTAAAAGTCATGCTGACTGTGGTGCTGGAAGCCAACGCAGCCCAGTGGGTATGAGAGCCTTTGGAAACATCTCCCAAAATGGGAAAGTTCTGTAAAGATCTTATGTCTTTGTATATTTAAATGACAGGTATGATACACAAAACCCTATGCATATTTATATATATTTATACAGAGTGTGCATATCTGCAACTGTGTAGACATACATGATCAGCCATTACATAAATATTAGAAATCCGTGTTAGTCATACAATTGGACACCATCATCATTAATGGGTAAATCATGTTGCAGAACTTATATTAATCTGTATCAGAGCTACATAAATTATCGTAGATCACAGTGTTAAGTTCATTTGGATTATTTTGGGGGGGAAATCAAATACTGTTACGATAAAATGCTATTTTTGAGGGAGAAACAGTAGCAAAACAGTATCATCTTAGACAGCTTGACTCAAAAGTATATACTTACTAAATTTCACTGATATAACAAGACCAATCCCCACACTCCATCAACTCCTCCCAGAGAACAAACCAGTTGTGGCTCTGTCTCTGACAGTGCTTCAGTACACTTTTCCTGGAGTGGACCATCTTCTCATGCACCATCTCTCTGATTATGTAGTCCGCAGAGCCTGTCTCAGAGAATAAGTTTATGATAAAACACCAAGGAAACCATATGATGGTTTACGTATACTGCTTCAGAAGAATCTCTGCCTCTTAGGTGCTACTGTGTAAACCAATACCCATCAATTATGAAGAAAACAAGTGAAAGCAAAAACTAATACAATTTCTAAAGAATTAAACTATATCTGACTATTCTTTTACTGCAGACAGTGACAAAAAACTCACAAAAAAGGGAGAGCATAATCCAAGCAATGCTAAGCACTTTGGAAAATCCCTCCTGTATCATTAAGCAAGCTTAATTTAGGTTTACTTTTCTGGGAATATTTGTGCAAAGTATTTTTATGAACATAAACGTTTGGGAGGAAGTATGTATTTGGCTAAGGGCAGCACTCAAACAAATACATTTGCATATAAGCCTGTAAATATCTAGATTAATGTGGATCAGCAGTTGAACTGCTCGTTTGACCACCCTGTCTGTAAAGCAATGTCTTCAAGAAATGTGACCAGAAAAAAATTAAATGTGAAGCTTGTAGGCCAGCCAATAAATCTGGCTTATGTCTTTCTCTCTTCCTCAGGCAGGAAGGAACTCAGCTATTTTTAAATCTGGTGTCCAGGTACATAGCCAAAAACAAATGCTACTCCTTTTGGAGAGGACAGGAAAAGGTTTTATAAGTTCTGTAGATTTCCCAAGGCAGGCTAGCCTACTTTCTCTTTGTCCTTGGGGTGTTACATACGCTCATCCTAGGATAATTTATTCTCCACTGTTCGGGGGGTGGGGGGGGGCAGGGTTGTTTGTTTGTTTGGCTTTTTTTGTTGTTTTGTTTGTTTTTAAAGAGCTTCTTTTTCCAGTTAGGAAACTGGAATTATACCATTACATTAAAAAAAAAAAAAAAAATGGCTGTGGGGAAGGAAGAAAAAAAAAGGACTAAATTTTGTACTTGCAGAAGTCAAAATAACATTTGCTTCAGACCGTTTACAAACTATTTCCATATCACAAACCTATTTAGATTATTGCCTGTATTCATTTCAAAGAGTAGATAATATCATTAGTATAATAGTTTTTAGGTTTTTTTTTCATAATAGATTCAAAATAGGGAAAAAAGATTAATTCTGAACACTTTATTCCAATAATCTGTTGAGGACTTCTTTGTTTTGTTGGTTTCCTAAATTGTTCAGAAAAAGACCTTGATTTCATCTTATTACTCCTTACTAACAAAGATTTACATACGTGATGCACCATTAGAAAGGCTTCTAAACATTATGAAATACAATTAATTTTATACTCTTGGATTTATTGCAATTATTATTCACTCACCATTTACATGTTGTCTACTTTTGATGATCAATAAAAAGTATAATAACTAGTCTTTAAAATAACTTACTTCAAACTTACTAGATCACTTCTTCTCCTTTTCTTAAAACTTTTAAGACCAAACCATGTTTTCCAGACTAAAGTAACAGTTTTCTTAACTGAAAAACATCTATGATTTATTCAACAAGCTATTTCTGCAGTAATTCTATGTTGTAAATTAATATCTAGATGCAGTTTTTCTTCAGAGAGTTTCAAATGGTAGACAGCCCCAAACATGGGAAGGTAGCATCTCAAGGGCAGTGTATGCTGCCTCCAGCAGAAACATCTAACTTCCAGTCAGGAACTGATTCAGATCCAACTGATGCAACTTTTGAATCTCTCCCCATGCAGTCATTTTGCCAATTTCAGTGGATTAATAAGATGTTAGAGTTGAGAATGGGGCTTTTGAGGCATGAAACAATGTAATTCTTTTATATTCATGAAGATAAGGGTCCTATATACTTCAATATTTTTCAGATGGATAAAGTACTATCAGCAATAAGGACAAAAATATAGAATTAGCAAGTTTTTCAGATATGGGGGGGACTACAATTAAGTGACAGACTTATGTGTATATAAAAATAGTGCAGATCCATTACACATAAATAACACTTTACTCCAGGCCTTTTCCCTTGAAGAGTACATAAAAAATTCCAAGCAATTCAGCAAAAGAGAATCAAAATCAATAATTAATAATTGAGTATATATTGGCTTCATAATCAGACTTTCACTAATTTTCAAGACAAAATTTGGAATTCAATTGAATTTATATGTAGAAGATAGCATCAAAGAAACAACAGAAGCAGCAGAATCCGTCAGTGCTTCATTGCAGATTATATTCAGTCTATAAACAGAAACCAGCATTTATTTACTGGCACATTCATTTGTGCAATGAGACTGTTGAGCTACAGATGATCCACAAAAGCTACACTGACCATCCAACCTCACGTTCTGGCACCAGGTAACAACAGGTCTGAACACAGTAATGTTATACTCACACCTTACTGACTGTAAATCATTTCCTCTGCTCACAGCCGTCACCTGGGCTACCAGTATCAGAATAGGGCAGCAGAAAGGCTGCTTGACAAGGCAGATGGAAGGCACTTTGTTTGGAAGACATCACTGACTTAAACACACGTAACTGTGCCAGAGGAGACATGAGTATGTCTGCCTTTACATTTTGAAATTCTTTTCTTTATACTAAAGAGAAGGTCACAGCAGAGCTCCAAAATGGATTGAGCCCTTCTGAATGGGAAAAGTTCAAAGCCGTTTTCCTAGAAGGAATAGTAAGAGTAAGCCAAAAGGTAGGGCATGAGGTGGTCTGCAGGCCAAACAGACATTTACCAGCAGTCTGAAGAGATTACTAGACAGGCTGGCAGCAAGCAACCAAGGTGAGATTGTCTGAAGGAGTTGAAAAAGCAGACTGAAGTCTAAATAGAACATTTGAGAGGTTTATAGGAAAATGCTTTATGACCCAATGTTCTCTAATAAACTTTTCTCATTATAAAATGGTAATGAAAGGATTCAATTTAATAAATCCTTTGGTATTTGATATAAAATATAATATTGAATAATGAGAAACGAAATGTTCTACACTTTGGGGGGGGGGGGGGGGGGGGGGGGGGGGGGGGGGGGGGGGG